CCTCCGCTGTCCGCGTGTCTGTCTGTCAGCGGGGTGCATCTCTTGATCCGTAACGGGTAGATGGTTGTAATTTTCACAGAACGTGTATTTCTGTTGCCGCTATAACAGCAAATCGTAAAAATAAATTTGAAATTAAAGGATTTTCTACTAGAAAGAGAAACGTGTATTTTTGGCTTCTTTTGATCGATAGTAATATGTATAGGTATTTAAATCTTGTAAGATGGTACGGAAGCTCGGAAGTCCGATTCGCACTTGGCAAAATATTTGTTTATATTTAACCTTACCTCAGACATACTCATATTTTTTATATATAATTTACTATACTACTATATAAGCTACCACTAAATAAAATAGTAGTAGCTTTGGTATGGTATTATAGTATATTTTGGATTAGATTTATTTTATTACAGAATAATATGAACTATATAAAAACTAAGGAGCGCATCAACCTACCTCAAATATTGGGTTATGAATACAGATAAGTATACATAGGATTTAGTTTCTAAGTTGTACATATTTTATAGCCTTCGTTATGAATAGCATAAACAGGCCAAGCCCCCTAGCCTACAAACGTTTCGTAACGAATCTCTTTCTACAATCGCGTCTTTTATTTGTTTATTTGTTTGGACTGACCACCTGACTCATTCAGTGATGTCATTCCCATACAGTGTTTAGTTTTCAACTAGCGTTATCTATCATAAAATAAATCAAAATTTTATTTATATTTAGCTAATTGTGTCTGTACTGTGAATTTGATTTACAATCGATCTCTAAATTGTAGTTTTCTTCTAATTACTTACCTTGACTAGACGTGTTCTTTGGACTTCTGTAAGGAAGTCTGTGCTGTTAGTATTCCGTTTATATACGTTACTATTTTGATAGACTTTTATGCTTGTCCCTGCAAGTGACACAATGCCTATTGTTGATAACTTTCAAAGTACTAAGAGAATATTGCAAACCGCTATTGAGCACAAACAATCAATAAACAATTTACAAACTAACATTTTTTATTTATTTAACTAACCCATATAAAAGCGCCACACACATCAAAATCGCGCTGTCGAAAAAGCAGTTATCCTGACACTGGCTGGCATATACTTTGGGGAGTTGCCTGTGGGCTATTATAGCTAATTAGCTATGGTAAGTAAATACCTGTTTAGAATACATAGAACCTACAGTAATATTTGCATAACCTACAATAAAATACAAAAACATAAAGAAAACATATTGTTACACTTTTTTCTGTTTGTTTTAGAAATGGTTATATTTTTTTCAAAAAAAAGGTTTTTTTATGTTACCATTCTTAGTTGAGAGTTATGTCCCTTTAGTGGGTACAGGCGTGATATTATATTGTGTGATTGTGTAAAGAAGGATATAGGCTTAGATAGGCGATAGCAGCAATCGCGGTTGATTTGCTGTCATTTATTGAAGAGTGCCCCCGATTTCTCCAAGATCCCATCATCAGATCCTGACCTGATCATCATCGATTACCGTGGGATCGATCATCTAGAAAGAATATCCTTTCAAATAAAAAAATAATTTTCCAAATCATCTTCGAGAAATCGGGGAACAGAACATACATAAACGAAAACCAACTAATTGAGAACCATCTCCTTTTTTCGAAGTCGGTTAAAAGTAGGTGAAAACAAATCAATGAAATTATTATATAATAACAACATCTACTTAAGTTCACATAAGAACTTTCATAATAACAACTACATAAATTAGAATCATAATAATTAAGTTTCACACAGCAGATTCTAAGTTATAATAACACCAATTTGTTTTCTCTCTCCTTTTTCCTTTTAAAATACGTTACCCCCACAGTAGGATTTTCTCCATTATCGTGGAGGCAGTTTACAAACATAAATTGCACAAGGACAAACACCCAGACCCGGAACAACTATTTGTAGGTCATACAAATGTTTGTTCCGTGCGGGATTCGAACCCGCGGCCCCCAGCGTAGCTACTCATTGCTAAACCACTGCGCCAAGAAGCTCACAATTACCGTTTGAGTTTATGTTATTAGAGTAGTAGTAGAGTAAAAATGAATCGCATAGGTAGGTACGCGATGACGCCGTCGCGCATTGCGTCACTCCAGTGCGTATGTGTGTGCGCACTAGCTTCTTACTGCTCATCACAGCGTCTATCCCTTTCGCACGTGATGTCGGCTGAGTTAGCATGCATTTTTGCCCCGCCCACCACTTAGTTCATGCCATTGACTAGGGCCACCTTAAGGTTTATACCAGCATCAGAATCTTTGCATCGTCGTAAAAAATATTAGAACTTTTACCAGTGTTGAAACAGCTAGACTAATTTACTTTAGCTATTTTCATAGTATAATGTCGTATGGTATTATTCTATGGGGACACGCGGCTGACACCGAAATTTCTTATATTTGATTTGCAGAAGAGAGCCTTAAGAGCATTTTATGATTTCGCTTAGACAAACATATAAGGAAATTTATATTTTATAAAATTTTGCCTCCCAATAAATTTATGAAAATGTAATCTAAGTACACAAAAATAAAAGTAGTTTTAAAACAAGTTGTAAAATTAAAAAATTTCTACAACCGACTTCAATATAAATAAAATGAGTACATCATCAACGCATTCGAAGTCAATTAAATACGCATTATTAAGGATAATACAAAAACTACTTGTCAGATCATGATCAAATTTATAAGGAACCACACGAGAAGCACCAGCTTTGAAATAAAACAGAATCATAAAAATCGGTTCACCAAGAAAAAAAGTTCTCATAAAAAAATATACAGTCGAATTGAGTCCCGCTGGATTTTTTGTTTGTTCTTCCCAGGACAAAGGTTTTTTTCCGAACCAACGGTAAATTAAACAAAAGATTCATGGAGTATATATGTAAGGAGGACAATCTCCCATAAGAGAATAGTTGAAAATGTGTCTATCCGTAAGCAGTAAATAACTGTTCAAAAACTCTCTACAACAGCACTCGAGTAGCTACAGGGTATGATAAATCGCCGTAAAATACGTTAAGAGTGGTTTTGAAAATAAAAATGTTGAAAGCAATAAAGTAATTATTTTAAAAATAATTATGGTGAAAGTCTGTGCCATGGAGGTTAGAGAACAGGAGAACGATCACTGTAAAAAATAGTGTCCCAAAAATATGGACAAAATAAGTGAGGCGCTGCGATCGCTAATTTGTGTCAATAATTTTTATTATTATAAATATTATAAATTATTACAAATATAAATTATTAATTATTACTGATTTCATAATATTTCAACGTTTTTTAATGTTTCTTTTTGTCAAAAATTAAAAAAATAATTCGAAAATACTACTTACCGACGGCAGTGCGGCTATAAATTCTACAAATTTTCAGGGACAGGCAGGCTATGCTTTAGCACGTAGCGATCGTCCTCCTGTTCTCTAAACTCCATGGTCTGTGCAATAAAAAAATTATAAAAGGATAGATCAGCTCATGCACCTTATTTAGCGCTTTCCTAGGGACACTTTTTTGTACAGAGTTTGTACTCCTTACAACGACTACACAGCCCTCCTAATGTATGTACTTCTGGATCCAAACCTGTCTGTCAGAGGTACGGGGGAGGTGGTTTGAAATGCACGCTAATTGGTTAAATTCAATGTTGCGACACTAGCTAATAGACAAAAATAATGGTGGGAACTTTAACTGATAAATTTGGTACCAAGTCCACTAAATCAATACCAGAACCATATTCTACTATAATTTAGTACAAAAATACAAAAGAAGTTGTATTTAAGTAGGTATCGTATTTAGTAAAATACCTATAATTTTCTGTTTTAAAGCATATTTTTATTGAAACAAGATTTCTTTACAATATTCAAATAATAATAGAATAATATTACTACTGCATATTACACTTCCGTTTCCTATTTGTCTTGACAAATAGGCGTCTTAGCAGTAAAGAGAGTGGAGTGCCGCCTCTTAAAAATTGTATCAATTTTACTATGAATTTTTTACTAAGAAATTTTGAATAAAGTGATTTTATTATTGAATAAATTTATTTAAATATGGATTAACGTACGTTCACTAAAAAAAATCAGCTTACATCTATGTCACTTATATAAGTCTGTAAAACATTCACGATAACATGCATAATATTTACTTGTACCAATATTATAGTTTTACTGGTACAGCACTAGTTACAAGTGCCGGTAATTAAAGAAAAGTATAGCAACAATGAATCACAATGAAAAGAAAGGGATGCATAGTCCAAAAATGTTCGAAGATGTCCGAATAAATCAACGTGAGTTGCTTTGCAACAAATGTAGGTTGAGCTCTGATTTGATTTTAATTAATGAATTTGGAAATTAAAATTCACTTGTCTATGTAAAGTGATTTTACGACGACTTTTTCGAGGTTATATTTTAATTTAGTTATTATATATTATATTGCAGTGTAGTTTATATTTACTAAATATAAAATTATTTTAAATTTTGGAGCTACTGAGCAGTTTAGTTTAGCACACTTTATACCGTCGACAACTGCTAAGATCATTTCATGTAGCTGTTTTCTGGAGCTACCCCAGCGCTGTTGTGGAGAGTTTTTAATTGTTATTTATTGCTTACTACTTAGATGGACACTTTTTTAAATACTCTCCTATGGAAAATTGTTCCCCTTATCTCTACATTCCATATCCTTACCTCTACATTCCATAAAAAGAGTGACATTTAATAAAGTATATTTATAATCTAGGTACATTGAATAAAAAAAGTTTTTGTTTCTGTATCCATAGAGTAAATTCAACTGTCCACTTTATGATCACACCATCTTTTCCATTTACTGGCAATGACGGTTAAAGTATACAAAATTCTGATTGGTCGAAATAAATAACCGTTCAAAAAATTCAGTGCAACTGCTTTCAAGTTCAAACGCTTTCCGTTTGAAATCTCCTTTGTGAAATTGTCAACAATCATTAGTAACTTTGCTGTTAATATTTAACGTTTTATTGACTATATTTGTATTTTTAAGTTAATTTATAATGACGTCGATCAAAGAAGACGAAAAGAAAGAAATACCTGAAATAATTCACGATCCTCAAACAAACAGCACTTATCAGAGATTGAGGTTCTTTGGAAAGGTGAGTTTTTTCTTACACGATTTAACATCTGCCAAAAATTGAAATAATTGTTAGGTACTTTAAAACCGAATATAAGTTTTTACCCAACACTTTATTACAAGTTGTATTTTATAGGCATTTTCTTTGAAAATATTATACTCATGAATAATTAATACTTACTGTAGATTTTTTATTAAAAGGTAAAAAAGTACCTAAATTGTTTTTCGTTAAGATAATGCAATTAAAGTCGCAATAATATATCATTCATTTAAATCAGTTTTACTTAATAGGCAATAATATAAATTGTATAATTATTATAAAATTTTAGGGTGGATTTGCAAAATGTTACGAGATCCAGGATATCGCCACCAACCAGGTGTATGCTGGAAAAATTGTATCAAAAAAAGCTTATGGTTAAATCAAGTCAAAAAGAGAAGATGGCACAAGAAATCTCTATTCACCGTTCATTGGAGCACAAACATGTGGTGGGCTTCCACAGCTTCTTTGAAGACTCCCTAAATATTTATATTATACTGGAGCTGTGCAAGAGAAGGGTCTGTATATTAGTGTCTACCTAACTATAGATGTAATATAATAATTATGTTAAGCTTAAAGCTTTATGTTTCAATCCATTCCAAATTCCTCTTCCATAAGCATGGAAGTGAGCAGCATGAGTATGCATAGTTGAATTGGTAATTTCTTATGCAGCAGTCATAAATAGAGTAGTATTAGCACAAGTGAGTTAAGACTCGCCATTCTCCTGCTCCATTCATTGCTCAATTGCCACCAAGCCTATGAAGTTAGAAGTGTGAGAATGGGAGTAACTACATAATAATAATGTTTTTAGAACTTTTTGAGAGCTAGAGAGTAATAATAATTATCCACCATCTTCTAAGACATCTGTTTCTCTTTTTTGTGTTTTAAAAATTTCACATTATGATATAATTTTAGATGGCAGAGCACTGAAGCTATCTATAATTATTTCAGCATCCATCACCATTGCATGTAATTACTCAATGCCTATGATGCTGCCACTAAAGTATTTCAGGATTTTTCTACAATACAAGCAGCAGCTGAATGTAAATATAGTATAAATTTCAATCCCTTTCGTTACAATCTTAAATAAAGACAATTATGACAATTTCTGTTTGTGGCCAGAATTAATAGAAAATAAAATATTACTAAACCAAGAAGTATTGCTTTTTCCACTTCAAGGAATATGACTGTAGAGGCTAGAGCTTGTTGTATAGTTGCCTTATTCATTACGTTATGTAAGCACTTAGTTTTATTATTAATAACTTGTAAAAGTATATTGAACTTTTACTGCAGTCAATGATGGAACTACACAAACGTAGAAAAGCTATCTCGGAACCAGAGACAAGGTTTTACATGCATCAGATTTTACTTGGAGTGCAGTATCTTCACAGCAAACGCATTATTCACCGGGACCTCAAGTTGGGAAATCTATTTTTGGATGATGATCTTCATGTAAAGATTGGAGATTTTGGATTAGCCGCTAGAATAGAATTTGAAGGTATCTATAAATACAATTTTTAAACTCCATGCTATACAGAAATGACAATAGAGTAGTTTGAACTTAAAAATTAATTTCCATAAAACTAGTTTTTTACGGATTTTATTGCGTATATTACCTTATTTTACATTCTGGAGGTTTCAAGCACTTATAGTACCCATTGTTATGGAGGGGGAGAAGCTGGCTACCTCCAGATTAAAATTGATTTATTATTGTTCTGACTTCTGATCTATGCAGTATGAACATATAGTATCTTGAAGTCTTGCAGTTGTATGCTTGGGTTGGCATTTAATATTATTAAATCCCCATTAAAGCATTCTTCCATGAATATGTCGGCAACAATGAGGATACAGGTGAGCCCATTGTAGACCATCTACTTGCTTGTAGAACTCTTCCTTCCACAATGGGTAGCCAGATGTAAGGCAGTGTCTGAGTAATACTGCATATTTTACGGGGATGTTGTTTTCTTCCAGCCTTGTAGTTATAATTGAGATGCAGTCTTCAACGGGTAAGCATGTGAATAGTCTGCGACAAATTAATGTCCCATAAATACAAAGTTCTACAAGTGGTACATAGACAATACTTTCACAATTCAACCTTAAGATAAAGTAACTGCATTTTTAGACCATCTAAACTCTAATATTCGGTATATAAATTCTAAAATTCAGTTCACAACAGAGTTAGAGGCAAACAATTCTTTAGCTTTTCTAGATGTGGTAGTAATTCTAAATCCTGATAAATAATTTTAATCTGGAGGTAGCCTTCATTAACTGTGACATTAAAAAGTTGAACTCCTCAGTCCCACTGTGATCATGAGTGCTGTAAAGTGCTTTAAATGTCGGGAATATAAAATAAGTTAATATATGCGATGTAATCTATAAAAAGTAGTTTTAATTAAATGTGTGTACTAGTTTTATTTTAATGTAGTGTTAGCGTAAATAAAAGAAATCATTATTTAAATTTAATTTCAATTATTTTAGGAGAGAGAAAGCAGACTTTATGTGGTACCCCAAACTACATTGCACCCGAGATACTGACAAAAAAGGGCCACTCTTTTGAAGTTGATATTTGGAGTTTGGGTTGCATTATGTACACGCTTCTTGTGGGCAAGCCACCTTTTGAGACTTCTACACTCAAAGATACCTATAAGAGAATTAAGCAGTGTGAATACAGGTAGGCAATATACTTTCTATTTTTAATAATTATTTATTAAAAATAGCATAACATTTTACACAATTTAGAAAGGAATTGTGATAATTTTGACATTTAAAAAAATCTTTTGTAAACAATCCATTTCTTAGATAAAGTACAGAAATGAAGCACTTTTTTCATATGTCAGTTTTCACTTAAAAATTGTTGTAATACTATTATACAATAAAATTATTAAAAAAACGTTACAACAAATCATGGCATTTAGATGCAAACTATCTTACAAGGTTTGCTGTTGTGTAGCATTTTCCTTCCATTATAATATTAACTTCTTATAATAATAAAGCCTTTGTGTATTGTCAAATAGTGAGGGGATATACCTAGCCCTGCATGCATGTTATGCGGGCCCATGGCATTCGTTCCGTACTCGGTACGCTGAGGCGATAGTCAACAACAATACACTTAAAGAGCATTACAGGTGGATATTTGAACCATATAATGGTATGCGGTGATGGAACTCATTGCAAGCTTCTGTTAATATGATGTGTATGTCTTGTGTGTACCTCTGAGACCATATTTGTGTATGTTTAGTCTCACTAAAGGAAGCCAGTCAAGATTTTGTTAGAGCAGTTAGTGCACCACCATGTTGGAGGATTTCACTTATCCTCGAAATATTTTAGCCTTCAGACATGCAGGTTTCCTCACGATATTTACTTCAACCAGGAACATGTGATAAACCAGCATTTAAAATTTCGATTATCCTGTGTACAGATGGGGATCGGAGCCAGGTTGCCTTGCATACTATGAAATTGATGGCTACATACCTATACTATATTAATAACAACACAACTAACATTAATTTAACTACGCAAATATGTACAAGTGATGATGCCCTACAGACTGAATTTTAATTATGTTGGCCAATCTCAAGAGCGATTATCCATTTGCGTAGTACAGGATTATAGTTTACGATTTTGTTCGTAAGCACAGGTGCACTCTCTTTTCCTCACATAAAGTTAGCAGAGTCCACCAGGAGGACCGCATTGGGTCGCATCGCAACGCAAAAATCAGCTTGCTATTCATTTTGTATGACACGGCGTCGATTATAAGCGGGGCGGGCCGGACCGTGACGGAATCCGTCGACGTATCGCTCGGCGAGCGTATTTTTCCGTCGATGCGACCTGACCCGGTCCGGCCGCCTCCAGTGAACGCATGTAGCGCAGCATTTATAGTAGAATGTTGTAGCGAGCGGACGTATGTATGTATTTACGTAAAAAATTAACGAGGAACTACTTCTATCGTTAGTTCAATAATATTCCGAATCATTCTTCAGGTCATAGAATAAGTGATGAAATTCACCACAACATCTTTTCTTGCATATATCGTGAATCCATACTATGTTTGCGAAGTTTATTATTTTCTTCATCCTTATCCATCAACATTAATAAAAATAATTACTCATCAGAGCTATCGACTGTCACACTACCGAAAGCTGGCTTGTCATTCGCACGACTGACTAAAAATCTACCGACGCGGCGCGGCCTGCCCTGTATAATGGACGCAGTACGCAAAATACTCGCCGCACCGTTGCGGCCCGACCTGCCTCAAACGGACGCTTATCTTTATAGGCAATGGGACGACTATTATGAAGAATCAGATGTTTTCCATACTTTCCTAGGCACGGGGATGAAATATCGCCAATTTCTTGACTCTTGACTGCCACTGAAAATCCTTGACAAAAAACCCAATAACTGATTTTTAATCAACCCGAGATTCGAAACCGTATGGTTGCGGTTAGTAATTAGATTGAATCTTATTAGATGAGATCATCTGAACATCCATTTTAAAATAAGGATTATTAAAGAGCACACTTCCATGTGTGTAGTACTCACGGATGGTATTAAAGCTTTTTCGGAAACCGACTTGTGCTTAAGATGATTCGTAGTCACTCCCGAAAATATTACATATTATTATGCTTCACACATGGATGGATGTATGCAATGCATGAATGTCTGTGTGGAGTACACATGGATGTGTGCAATATTTGCCAACCTTGTGTCATAGTAAAAACAGAATAGTAGGCGCTGCGCGAGACTTCAATTCCTACTGTTGTAGGTTCGTCACTGTCTTTTTGTTTAACAGCTACGTCTCATTTAGTTTTATAAGTAGTTATAATATTAACAAACATATTACATATACGTACCTATGCATAATATTTGTTAATCATTTCTTTAATTTCCTCTCAAAGGATTAATGTTTGTTAAAAAAAAAACTAGCTTTATTACATTACATTAAATTATGGTGTCATCTCAGATTTAATGTTTAAAATTTATTTGATGTGATGGCTATATACTTAATCAACCCATATATTAATTTATTTACTAAAATGAAAAAATAAAACCAAAAAAGCAACATTTTATTAAAAATCCCTAAAACAATAAGTTCCCGAATCGGCCAGACCTTTCCGACTTAGCAAGTGTCGTTATGTGCGTGCTATGGCTCGTGAGTACGAGTCTGTACATTTCTTACGCCCCGGCTACACGCTCCGTCTTGCCTGCACAGTCCAGGCCTGTGCAGTCATGACTGTACAGCGGCTCGTGCAGGTCAGTTTGTGTAAACTAAACTGTGCAAACCTCAAAGTGTTTTGAGAGCTAGTCATGTCCCGATGTGGCCAGAAGAGGTTTTTTTTTAAACGGAGCCTTATATTATTGTTTACTGTAAAAAAATAAGAAAGTTAGTTTTTCAATTAATAAATGATAAGCTTCATTTTTTTTGTTCCTGTCGAAAAGTAAGGAAACTTTTAATTTTCCACAACGCCGGCAACGATTTGCACAATTCTACGAATTCAGTTAAACAATCCCTGGAATAATTGCGTACATTTCTCATTTTTAAGATTTTATAACATAACATGTGTCGTCAACAAGAATTTAGACGGACGGACGGAGGAATAACCGGTCACACGCTCAAGTAAGCTCGCAGGTAAAACCGTGCAAACCAAGCCCGCGCAGTCCAATCTTCAACATGTCAACGATTACGCAGGTCGCCTGCGCGAGCCACCGTCTTACCGTCCATACGCACGCGCTTACCTGTGCAAACCGGTTTCACAGGCAAGACGGAGCGTGTAGCCGGGGCATTAGAAGATAGACTGCTATTCTGTTTTTACTATGCTTGCGTTAAATGATAGTAAGTGGATGCTGTCTCTCATTGATAACTAAACGTACCTATCGTTGAATAAAAAAACATAATTCATATCATTTGTTACTTATAATGTGTGTTTATTTTATTTTCTTTTCTTTTTTTCTTTCAATTCCTACAACTATGTGTAATTTTCACCACTCCATGTGTTGACTGGTAGAGAATGCCTTTAGACATTAAATCCGCCCTTTGTGTCCTTTTTTTTTAAGGGAATGCAATAAAGATGTTAAAATATAAAAAAATGCAGGTGCATTGTCACCACTAATGGAACGCCTTCTTACCCAGTAGAAAAGGCCTCCGACTCTCGTCATTTACCATACGAAATTTTTGTATTACCATTTGGATAACATAATTATGAGAGCATCTAAAATGTTGGGTTTTGTTATAAGGAACTCGAAAAATATGCATTACAAAACCAAAATATTTCTTTACAACAGTCTAGTTCGTAATATTTTAGAATATTGTAGTGTTGTCTGGAGACCACACTATGCTACACATTCATTACGTATCGAACGTGTTCAAAAGCGGTTCCTCTGGCATCTAGCATTTTCTGTTGGTAAAGCAAAAAAGCTACGGTCCTATAATAGTAAATTGCATCATTTTAATTTAGAAAGTCGCAGAAAGTATAATGATGCAGTTTAAGTACATAAAATATTTCTACATTTAATAGCCCCAGTTTAATGGACCTTTTTAAATTTCGTGTACCTTCGAGATTACCTCACAGGTCTATTGCACCACTTAGTCCACCATTAAGAAGAACTGTCTTGGGAAAGAATTCTCCTTGTGCCAGATTCTGCAAAGTTATTAATGGATATAGCGATCAAATCTACATTCACTTTGACTCACTCAAAACATTATTAAGTGTCTCCGTTAATGTATAAGTTAATAGCGTAAATTAAAATAGATTTCTTAGTTTTTTTTCTTTTGTAAGTTTTTTAGTTTATGTAGCACTATTCTTACTAATAAATATGTATTTAATTTTAGTTGAGGAACAACTTATTGTTTTTTCAGTTTTTTTTTTTATAAAGTTAATACTTTTTTAGCACTTGTGTTAATACTTTTAAGTAATTGTATTAATTTGATGTGTTAGTGTTATCAATTGTTGGTGAACCTAATAAAGAGAAAGAAAAAGAAATAAATACACTGAGATGCTATGTAGTCTACTGGTCTATCCCTGCATGTAAAAGCGAAGCCATAAGTTGCGTTGCTACGCCTGAGTGGCGACGTTGGCTCGTTTTTAGGGTTCCGTAGTCAACTAGGAACCCTTATAGTTTCGCCATGTCTGTCTGTCTGTCTGTCCGTCCTCGCTTAATCTCTGTGACCGTTAGCACTAGAAAGCTGAAATTTGGTACCAATATGTGTATCAATCACGCCCATAAAGTGGTAAAATAAAAATTGGAAAAAAATGTTTTATTAGGGTAGCCCCCCTATATGTAAAGTGGGAAGTGATTTTTTTTTTAATTTCAACCCTAACGTGTGATATATTGTTGGAAAGGTATTTAAAAATGAATAGGGGTTTACTAAGATCATTTTTTGATAATGTCAATAATTTCGGAAATAATCGCTCCAAAAGTAAAAAACAATGTGCCCCCCCCCCCCCCCTCTAACTTTTGAACCATAAGTTTAGAAAATATGAAAAAAATCTGAAAGGTAGAACTTTATAAGGACTTTCTAGGAAAATCATTTTGAACTTTGTTGAAAAGACGGAGCGCCTGCCGCGGAGCGTGCATGTTCATGTTCGCGCACGTGCCCACTACCGGGAGCAGTTGCAGGAGCGCGGAGCGCTGCTGAAGCGCGAACATAATGGATACCCACCTTTAAACTCATAAGTGGGTACACTTATTGTGACGGACGGGAAACTACGGAACCCTACACTGAGCGTGGCCCGACACGCTCTTGGCCGGTTTTCACATTTATCACAGTGACATGCCACACACTGCGACGTCGCGCGCTAGTACAATATTTGTCAAACGTTTGTCAATGCGTCACGAAATTGCGTTGGTTTCATTGGCCGTCCGTCGCTACGCAACACACCGACTGCGCCCGTTTTGACCATAGTCTTTCTTCTAGAAATTTCTTCTGAAAAATTTACGCTAAAATTTCTTTGTGTTTATTCAATGTCATGTGCAGCATTAAAAATGCACATGACATTGAATAAAACTACCGTTAATACTACTAATTTGACATTATGTATCGCGATTATTATCAACCATGGCGATCTCAGAAATGAGTGGTCTGTGCCCAGCAGTGGGATGTATATGGGCTGTTGTTAACTAATGGCGATATCCAATTATTGGGAGCAACCAACGGTTTACAGCCCACCAAAAAGTCCACCGTTGAACATAGGCGCATATCCATAAATTTCCTCATAGTCAAATATCCTATGATATGCCACGCTTGGCAAGTGGGTTGCCAGCCGCAGATTTTTTTATTCTGTTATCATCTGGAAGATTCTGCTCCCAATCTATTTCAGTATTTTACAACACTCACGTCATAATATTGGGTAGTGAATGTTCGTACACTGACACTACAGTAAACATGGTTTAAAACAACTCGTTACACGTTAAAATTAGCGGAAGGCTAAAAGGTAGGTTTTTACGTAATCCAAATAAGGTTAACGAAAATCATTAAAAGATCATTATATGTCTGTTTGGCTTGTTTGTAATCATACTTCCGATCTTAATCACTGCATCTGAATTCCAAGCAAACCATTTCTAGCGAAATTAAATAAACTTACGAATTTAAAACCACAACAGGATCCCTTCATCGCTTCGGAAGCCCGCGGCGTCAATGATTGTGCTGCAGCTACAGTCGAATCCCGCCCGAAGGCCGTCAGTAGACAAATTGCTCCAACACGAGTTCTTCACCTCTGGCATAATGCCTGCCGCACTGCCTCTGTCCTGTCTCACGACTGCACCCAGGACCGATCAGTTGGAAGGAGTCTCTGTACATCGCCGGCCTCTTAACGAGGTCAACGGCAATGGTTAGTATTATACTATATTAGCCTACTCTTTTTTAAATGGCCGGCAACCCATCTACAATTCCTCTGGTGTTGCTGTTGTTCATGGGCGGCGGTAGATACTTACCATCAGGTGAGCCGTATCCTCGTTTTCCCCCTCTCCTATAAAAAATATAAACAAAAATAGGCATGATTTTGTTTGGATAAGCAGAGAGATTTATCTTTAATAATACCACAGGTTAATTATTACAATATTGATCTTTCTATTCTCAGCAAATCCTAGTTTAACCGTGCTCTTATGTAGAATTCGAGTCCTGAATACGCGACTCTTTAATCAGCTTGCGACAGCCTTGCTATACAATCAAAACAGGTCAAAGAGTTTGCAGGGGAGCTCTATAATCAACTTCATGTCACTCTCCTATACTCAAATCCAAGGCTAACTTTAAATTTCAAGCTACGAGTTTGAATTCTGACCTGGTATTCATAATTACAATTTCACGTATAGAAAAGGTTTAAGAAAACAGAAAAGATAAAAAGGGAAGGGAGACTTATATTCAAGTCCCATGTGTCTGTCCTATATTTAAATCCTGGGCTGGCTTTAAATTTCCAAATTACAAGTTTGATTTCGGACCTGGTATTCCATTTTACGATCTCACAGACACAACATATCAAAGATTTTTTTAACTCCATATCTCTCTCATGTTCTTCCATGAGCTGGCTTTATAATTCATACGCGAGACCGTCGAGAGAGAGAGAATTAGGATCCTGCCGATTACTCATATTAACCGCAATCAAGGACAAGTCCGCCAATGCGCAACAGATCAGCCTAGCAGCCTTCCTTTTCTAATTCCATAAGTTCCTACAACTCGCGGCACGTAACTCTAGCGTTGAATGAAACGCTAGAGTTACGTGCCGCGAGTGTAATAGCTGCCAATGTCGTATCAGTACGGGAACGTGATGCGACTGAAGAGCCGATCAGCGCATGCGAACTGCCAATCATACGCAATAATGCGTAATACGGCCAATTATGTGTAATAACGGTCACCGCTAAACTTTCGTGCCGCGAGTTGTTTTTTTATAACCCATTAAATCACAAATAGGCATTTACTTATTTTCTCTAATGTGAACTCTCTTCAAAATAATAAATGTAATTTGTTAAGTTCCAAAATTACCCTATGTTCATCATCATCATCATCGTTACAGCCCTTCACAAGTCCACTGCTGAACATAGGCCTCCCCCAAAGTATGCCACAAAGCACGGTCTTGAGCCACCTGCATCCATCGACTTCCTGCGTGTCGTATCTAGATGGAGTGACGACCCTATGTTAAAGTAACAAAAATATTTACAAAAAAACACTGCAATTTTCCCTGATTAAAAAATACGACGATAGAAGGTTGAAAATGTGGATTGTATTTTTGATTTTCTTAGATCACATGGTTATGGTTGTGGACTCGCCACTGAAACGCAATGCGAATGCTGCGGAACCGCGAGCGGTTGAACCGACTTCGCACAGACAGAATCTCATCTTACTGCGCGACCAGCTCGCGTCATTACTGCATAGTAAAGTAAGTACAAGAACATTGTGTTTTCAACCGACTTCAAAAATGAAGAGGTTCCATATTCGACTGTTTTTTTAATGTGTGAACTGATTTTGATGATACTTTTTTATTTGAAAGCTGGTGCTTCACATGTAATTAATTTCATATAAATTTGATCAATTAATTTTTGTGTTGACCAGTAATTTTTGAGTTATCCTTAATAATGTGTATTAAGGATAACTCATTACTAATTGACTCCGAATACATTTTTAATTTTATTATTTATTGAAAGCTTGTTTTAATTTAATCATCATATTGACTACGTTCCAAAAAGTGGCAAATAATTTTAAGTTCAGTTTTCTAGGTGGGGTTAACCACTTTTCCCACCGAGAAGTCCAAAATAGGAATTACATGTATTTAACTATTCTCTCGAATTCTGCTAATTTAATTCATACTGGACTAGATTCCGGTATTTTTCGTGACCGCTTTTCATTTTGCAGCACCCATTTAATCAATTGTTCCCTATGTGAACTCCTTACGGTTCTTTCTGTATTCATTGATAAATGAGATTTTTGGTAATTTTTATTGGAAAAAGTGCGATTTACGCAAAAATTTTCTCATTTAGCATTTTTCACACGACGTATGTCGCCATCGGTTTTTCTGCTAAAAGGGAAAAGTTACTTGGGGTTACATGCTATGCTGGCGGCCGTCGCGTAATTGCTGAATTTTAGTAAAAACACTTAATTTAGAAAAAAGAATAACATTAATATAATCAGTAATAATATGTTTCAATTTGTTTTTGGTAATGTCATTACGGACCTGCGACCCTTTGGATCGGACAAGATGATTTTTACATAATATTATTTCTTCACAAAAGAAAGTACTTTTTTTATTGTACTTCAACACCATCTTTTATATTTTGCATATTGTTAACCAATTTTAATAAAAGTTGTCTCCGCAATAAATGACATATTGTCAATCTTTTGGAGTATAGGATCAACATGTTCTACAGAACTTGTTGCTCTTACCCAAATCCGGTCGTGCCTGTTTTACAAAATAGTGTTATAGTAAATTCTTGTAACACTTGCAACAGAACAAAGTCTGCAAGAATGAAGTTTTGAAATGAAATTTTTGTCTACAGCTAAAATGCCGTCCAGAATGCTTGACCGATGAGCTGAGTGATCCCGCAGCTCAGCCTTTGGTGTGGGTGGGGAAGTGGGTTGACTACAGCGACAAGTATGGCTTCGGCTACCAGCTGTGTGATGAGAGTGTTGGAGTCATGTTCAATGATACAACCAAGCTTATAATGCTTGCTAACGGACTGTAAGTATTTTGTAGATATTTTTAATTATAAAAATTCATCTTGTAACTCATATATAACAAAAATTAATCATGAACGAAATTTCACAAAGTTTTTCCGTGTACATTAACTAATAACTATAACTAAGAATTATAATTCTTCTGTTTCGTCTTTACTTGCATGTAAAACTCCACTGCTGGGCGTGGGTACCTCCCATTGTGGAGGGCTCCCAGGGCTTGCATTAATCGTCACATTGGTGGTTTGACAATAGCAGTACCAAACGTCTCGCACTTTTGACGTTGCTGTTCGTTGCTAGTCTTGGTATTTTACGTCCAATGTAAACGAGTTGGTTATACCTGTCGGTACACCTTGACATATCCCATAGTTGCCTCTTATGATGTCCTTGGGACAATTTATTTTGTTTTGTTTTCAAATCTGAGTACATAAATTAAACCACAATTTTGCTAACTGTTTTTGACCTTACACAGTTTGTCGGCAGCGGTTCTAATAGAGAGAATATTTACATGCCTAAATTAGTCTTTCCTAGATAAATCAAAGCAAACACTATTTAAGATACATATCTGGATGACTTTTTTTACCGTCTGGAAAAAAAAGGGTGTAACAAGTGAACGGAGTAGAAGTCTATGGCACTGATATTTTACAAAAAATAAAAACAAAAATTATGAATTAAATAAATAAATTAAGTAAAATCTATTTAAATTACTTTACGAACGCCAAAAAAACAATAAATTTAGTAGGCATCTTTGTAATGGTCACTTCGCAGGGTCACAGGCTCAATGGGAAAGGGTAAAAAAAAAAATTTGAAACACTTAATTACAAAAATTTTTGTTTTTATTTTTTGTAAAATATCAGTGCCCATAGACTTCTACTTCGTCCACATGTTACGCCCTATTTTTTCCAGACGGTAAAAAAGGTTATCCACTATAAAGAAACAAAAGAAAAAAAAAGAAAACTTATTAAATGAAATAAGACTATAGATATAAAGAAATAATGTTTTTTTTTAATGGTATTTTTCAAGTTACTTTCACTTTCAATATTTTTTATCACATCCTGAGATAGAAAATAAATAGACATTTTCATCGTCTTTTACTCTTTCCATAATAATTTTTAACTTTAGAAACATTACATTTAGATCCTTTAGCTAGGCGTGCTGAGCACATATTTCCGTCTCAATTCTCTGAAAGCGCAACCACACTGCAATATTTATGCATTTTACAGGAATGTCCACTATATTAATCGGCAAGGCCAAGAGCAGTACATGACGATGCGCGAGTACCCACAAGAGCTTGACAAGAAAATGAAGCTTCTCACATACTTCAGAAGATATATGACTGAGCATCTTATGAAAGCAGGTATTATAGTCATGCCTTAATGTAATCATAAATATGTATTTGTTAAATACATGTATAAGGTTTCAGGATATTAAAATATTAATTTAAGTAATAGATATGTAGCAAAGTAAAAAAAGTGAAATTACAGCCAAATACGTCCCCAGGCCTAGTAGGCACGGGTTCCCTCTCATTTCTGTGGGTTTTAGAGCAAGGAAATGTCTACCGCGGTATCTCAACTTCACATCTTCAAAATGTTTTTAAAATTTCTCTTACTAAATTCTGAAGTTACTCCCATAAAATAATCTATTGAGTTTCATTTTCTTTCTCACAAATGCATTTTTATGTTAATATAGGAGCATCGGTGCCAGTAAGAGAAAGTGATGGCCTATCGCGATTACCACATCTTCATCAGTGGTTCCGTACCACATTAGCTGTAATTATGTATCTTACCAATGGAACTCTACAGGTAAATATTTGTTTTTATTTAAATTATATAATAACAGAAGTTATATTTAAAGGAAATTTGGGATTAATTTGTTTTCGTAACATTTAACCTATAAGTTATTATTATATTTTCTGCCATATGTTGGTTGGTCTGGGACTTAGAGGTCCCACAATTATGCAAGCTTATAACAAATAAATGTGCCATCTTTGTTTAGTTTCCTTGCATGTCGTAAAATGCAGCTAATGGTATAATGTATTTATATTTGCGTGGCCGCATGTGTGACCGCTTTTCACTTTCAAAAATTTTCATTTAAACCCATTTTTTTTTTTTTGATAATAGTAATCCGAGTACTTTGCTACTCTTTTGACTCTACCTACTATGGGTATTAAAGGTAAGATCCTATGTATGTATTCATGTAATAAGTTTCTAAATTGCAAATATTTTATTTTGAAACAAAAAAGATGTAATGATAAAATCGTAACAGTGGCATTTGACTAATCTGCAGTGTTGCTAGCTGTAATATTGGTGCTAAGTAAAATTTTAAAATAGTTTAATTTATTAATTTTATTAATGTATTGTTTTAAAGCGTAACATAGGATTTCTTATCAAACATACATACATATACAATCAAGCCTGTCACCAGAGGGGTAGGCAGAGACTATGGATTTCTATTTGACACGATCCTGACACACCTCTCTTGCCTCCTTCACATCCATATACTTATGCATACATGCTTGTTGGATAAGGGTACTCTTAATTTTGCCCATTTTTTATCACTTGTAATTAATAAAAGAATTATGTTTGCTGCTACTTACTTGCTACGGGTTAATAAGGTATATATTACAAAAAGACATTGCGCCCAGACAGTTCAACGTCAACCGTTACTGTCACAGCCTAGTTTAGTTTAGTTTACGACGGGCTGTTTTCCGCAACTCCACGTTTAAGCGCGTATTTTGCGTGTGGGCAGGAATAATGTGGTTATTCGAGCCATGATATTTCCCCGAAGAACTTCAACAGTCCTTTGATGTTGCGAGCAACTTCGGGGAGCGATCCCGGCGTGCCGAGATGTTTAGCCCTGTATAGCAACACGTGAGCCGCCGTTTCTTCCTCTCCCATGTATGCCCTGCACAGGGGGCTGTCAGTAACACCTATGGTGAACAAATGTTTGTTAAAAGAGCCATATCCTGGAGCACTTGTTACTATCCTGATCTGTGGCTTGTTCAGTCTAATTAGAACCTTGGTTAGACGACTGTTTATTTCAGACAGGGCCTCCCTAGTTTGGCTACAGTCCACTAAATTTTTCCAAAGTTAAGCGTGTAAATTATTGAAGTATCTACGTACCCGTGAACGAACGTAGCCAAAGGGGATTGGTATTATAGGTTCCGGGCCTATACTTGCCAGAGCCGATCCCCTTCTGGCCAGTTCATCTACTGCATCGTTGCCTCTAGATCCACGGTTACAGCCTATTAAAGTCTCCCCCATAGATTGCCTCATAGGGGAAATATTTTCCATAGTTGCCACGCTTGGTAAACGGGTTGGCAACCGCAGTACGTCATTAGTCGTTATTAGGAACATACTACTGCACATCCGCTCAATTTGTTTCCCTTTGTTGACTCTTACGGCACCCAGGAGATGATGTGGGCTAGTGGATGTTATTACACGGCCACTACAAGGTACAGCATCAAATGGGCTGATAATCGTCCCTTTTCGAATACCAGAAATGCTTGTGATTAATTTTCCTATATACAGTGTATCCGGCCACGGACTAGCGATATTCTAGGTACTTATAATACAGCAATTTTAATACAAAAATACACTACACACTGAGGTCTAATCCCCTCCCCCTCTATGTGGCGGCCATTTTATTTTTTTCTAGAAATATTCTCTACGTGTTTACAAAACAATTCATATTTCTCAAAGTTTTGATCTTACTGAGATAAAAATCGGCTCATTCGGAGGGCAACAATATTGTCTATCGTTTACGTTACCAAAAACATTGTTCACATACTCGTATCTTTGAAGAAAAAAAAATTTACTTCAAATAAATATCAAAAAATTATACTAATCGGCTAATTATTGAAAAAAACGTACCTAGAATATCGCTAGTACGTGACCGGATACACTATAAAAATCAATTGCTGTTCATTAGTCTGGCTCTCGAAAACTCGAAAACGGCTCGAACAATACTGATAAATTTTTTATGTGTACAGTGGACCTCCGGTAATCCGGCCACTGTCTAATCCGGCACCCCCTGAAATCCGACATGGTCTATTATTTATTATTGAATATTTTTTTGACAATCTTCGCTAATTCATGATTGAATAAGTTATAACTTGTACGCACCACCACTACTGTGCTCGACGCGTAGGGTATTGTTTTTATTCTGATTGCTTACTTTAAATTTGACATAATGAAATATGACTTGTATTTCAGAATACACACACCATATATATATATATATAGAATCTTGTCACTGGATCTGTAATTTGTCGGATTACAAAATACTCTTGTGTAAAAAATTCCGTACTATAGGGAGTCTTAGGCAGTACAATATAATCCGACAAATTCGATAGTTCGACACCGCCCTGCAAAATGTTTGTCGGATTACCGGGGTTCCACTGTATTTGAGTTGATGATTTAAAAACTCAATTCCCTTGATGGTTTAAAAACTCAATTCGACCCGGTAGGTGGCGCTGTTGTCGAGGTCCAGAAATACCCGTGCGAAGCCGGGGCGAATCGCTGGTTTTACATAGAATTTATAGTTCACGTATATTTATTTTCCTCAGATAAACTTCCAAGATCATACTAAGATCATTTTGTGCCCACTTATGCAAGCCGTCACCTACATCGACATCGAAAAGAACTTCCGGACATTCCGCTTCAGTACAATTGAAGAGCACGGGTGCGACAAAAAGCTTTACGCCAACCTGACCTACGCGCTGGAGAAACTCAACAGTGTGCTGGCAAACAAACTTTGCTAGCCTGGTGTACCTGTGACTGCTTGTGCCTTATGTACCAATGAAATGAATTTAATATTATCTAGGATTAAATATCTCTTTGCGGATGATTGAGGAATCAAGGTGTAACTATATTTTAGTGTCCTCTTTAATTGATTGATTTTATCAATGCGTATTGTATATTGTTTTAAACGCAACTAATTCAAATTGGAAAAGTTATAATGCAACGACTTATTATTGACATCATTGAAATCGTGTTTGCGATAAATGGATGAAACATTCTTGAGTTTAGATATTGGCTCAAGAAAGTAATTAAAATTTTAAAATTCTATAGAAAATAGTCAGTGTCCTGTTAACGGAAAAATATTTATGGTTTGTATTTGCGATCTGCCAGCACATATGAAATGTGCTAAAATATAGTCAACCCATTAATAATACCAAATTATCTTGATAGATTATTTGAAAGCAATATTTTAATACCAGTTCAGTTAATTGCACACAGATTTTCTCTGAAATAAAAAATGTCAGCATAATAATATGGTATCAATATAATATGGCTCCAAACTAGGACAAAAGGTATGGTTTTGTTGTTTTTAGCAGTTTTATAAAGTTAGACTTGATTTTAGGGGTAAATATTATATAAATATATAAATATTTATCTCCTAAAATCAAGTCGTATATAGGCTTATGTTGCTATTAGCTTGATTTTTCTTGTAATAAGCTTGTAGTAAAAAAATAAAATAAAAAGGTAATTTCAATATTTTAAATAAATATGAAAACCACCTAAAATTTTAAAAAGTCTATCTTTTAATTAATTTAATATAAAACCTAGTCATTAACGACCAGAATTCATTTAAAAATCTTAATAGTGAATTCGATACTTGAAATATAACATAAAATAGCAGCCTCGGACATAAAATTAATTAATATTCATCACCCTTAACAGGCTCACTCCCTATAAACACTAACACTATTTGATTGTTTGATCAAATGCAATTATAGTGATGACTTTTCTGAACTTTTATTATTATATAATACATACAGTCAAACCTGGATAAGTGAGATCTCAAGGGACCGTGATCTCTTTTTCTCACTAACCCGAGTTTCTAGACAAAGTTACAGAACTTATTGAGGTCTATAAAAATACGGCAATTATAACATAATTAGAAACAAAATAAGTGTATTTATGGGTATTACAAAATGAGTGATTGGCTGGCTTCATTTTCACTGTCATTTCCGTCAGTACACGAGCTCAAAAGTATAACTTTGACATTTGCAAGTGTTGGTAAGTCGGTACGGGCAGTACAAATTGTCAATAATAAGCACAATCTTTTTTCGCTTGTTCTTCATTTGCTTGTCAACTTTTTTCTACCAACTTGCGCATTCAAGGTCATAACAAAACAATAACAGACGCACTTTTGGTTTGAATTAAATAAGAGTCCCTCGAAATTTAAGAATGAGCCATAAATAACAGAAGTTGAACGCGTTCAACTGTCGCTTGTAGAGGTATAGGCAAGATTCAATCTCACTTGAAGAGGTTCACGCGTGAAAAATTACTGTCACAGGTTTTATGTTTCTCACTTATATAGGTTTTAGGAGGGCAAAATGACGGAACCTGGTAAATACCCTCATTAATAGAGTTCTCTCACTTGCCCAGTTCTCACTTAAACCTGAGGTTTGACTGTATAAGAATTGTACAATGTGGTTTCTTTGTAAATAAATTCATTAAAATTTTATTTCAAAACATTTTCTATGAGTGGCTTGTAACCTTCACATTTATTCTTGATTAACCTTATACTTGTACCCCAAAATTTTTGTCCAAGGCAGCTTTTATTTTAAGCATGTTATTAATTTTCAGTACTTAACTCCTCATTATCTCCATCTACTTACAAAAATATTATTCAATATTATTACTGCTGAATTAATAGTAATAAAATATCCAACAAAAATATATGTGTTCATTGGTTATTTAAACATAAATTTATAACAATTTTTATTAGTGTAATATAAAAACACATAAGAACAATGTTTTTAAGATTGGGGAAAATTTAAAATATCAAAACGTTTTAGCACAATTCATCAATCATTAGACAAATGATTGTCACCTCACTGCATTTATAATTTTTTAAACTAAAAACTATAATATTCACATTTTATTCATGTGCCTTCGAATTGTATACATTTGTTTTAGATAAAACGATTTAGTTGTACTTTACCACTATTGAAGGAAAGGGTATGCAATGCACCATAACTGATTGGGCCAGGTGCAGGCAGTAGAATTGTAATCATTTTGAATTATTTATTTAGTTTTGTAGCTATATTTTTATAACAGTTGTTTCAGTGCTTCAGTAACATTCAAAAGGGCCACACATTCACAGGTTTTATTTTTTTACCATAGTCTCCTTTTAAGAATGCATTAAACATTATAGAGAACGTATTTAATATTATATACCGTCTTTATAATGTCAAAAAGTATCTACCATTATGTACACAAAATCAGTATTATAAATTCAACTCTTGAAGCACAGTTCATTAACGTAAAAGTTTGTCAGAGGTCTTTACCTCGTGTAAACAAACATTTGACAATAAAGTTTTTAGTTATAACGAAACTGTTTTTCTTTTTATCCCTTTTAATCTATTCCAATCTATTCTATCATTGCATTTGGGTTGGACGCTCAGAATAGTAATTAGCATAGTCCTAAAAAAGGACAAAATTCTTATAGCTGAACTCTAAACATTTGACGTTTAACATGGTACAAAATAAGATCTATATTATTCTCAACTTCTTGCATTATCAAGGTTGTTGCTTTTTTTTTTCTATTTACCTATGAAAACAAAAAAAGTCGATAAATTCATTTTGTCTTTGACTTAGTAAAATTAAAGATTTTTATTAATCCGGTTCATAATACTGTTTTACGTGAATGAAAGTTTATGGAAGCTTCATCTTATAACAAAAAAGTAGTCGAATAATGCGGACTTTCGTACTATAATTCAATAATTTAAAATATATCGTGAAGATGACACTATGAAATCTATTTAAATTCAGCCAGTGTATTTCCGACATAGAGTTATGGGTTTCACACACGCAATAATAACTGTGTTTCTATAATCGACACTGAGTTCGCTTCACGGAACGTACACAGAGGGCACTGTACTCTGTTACGATAGTAGAATAACAGCGACACGACCGCGATCTGCCTTTTGTTTTGCCACTAGGTCACAACTACAAATAAGTCGATTACGAACGTATTATCAGTTTTCCCCTCAAGATATTATCCATCTTTCATTCATTAATTACAGCCGATCATAGGTCCACTACTGAACATAGGGGGAAATATTTGCTTTTCATATAAGTGGTTCGGCAACCGCACTTATATTTTGAGTTGTTATCAGTAAGATAATGTTGCCTTGCCTATCTTCTCTTTCATTTACCTCTGACGTACGATACTCACGGGATGGTATAGGGTCTTACGAGCTTCTAAGTAATAATATTATTTGGTAGGAAGTAGTAGTTTTTTTTACGCCTTTATTACTTGCATTATCAAGATCCTGCGTTAACTTCATGATTTCGAAATATTTTCACCGAAGCAGATAAAACTTGGTTGAATATAGTCGATGGGTTTCCGCTAAAGAAGTGTTAAATCTATATAAATAAAAATCTATTCCCGCGTCTATGAAAAGATCATCACTTGAGAAAGGCTGGACCGATTTCAATAAACACACACTCACAATTGGACCTGGTAAGTGGAGCTGTTGTCGAGATCTGGAAAACAGTTGTGCGAAATCGAGGCAGATCGTTAGCATATAAAATTGGGGTTATAAATGGGATCCAGTCAGTGGCGAAGCTAGGACTCCTAACTAGGACAAGCCCAAGATATGGTTTCGTTATTTTTAGCAGTTTTATAAAAATATGCCAATCATGATCTGTCTCCACTCTTCAGTTTCATATTAAGTGTTGCCGAAGACGTGTTTAACAAATCACACAAAAGGCATACTACGGCTAGATAGATTGTATGACATCAGCAATTGCATACCTTCGGTGGCTTTCAAAAAAAGCCGTTTGGGTTTGCTAGAGCGAAAGAATTAATTAATTAATTCGCCGTGGTCGGTCAGCTGGTGATCTGGTCTACCTAACTCACAGATGGGCGGAGGCAGTAGAGTCCAAGGGGGAGGCATTGGCCGTTAGTTTGGACATTGCGAAGGCCTTCGATCGGGTTTGGCACAAAGCGCTTCTTTCAAAGCTCCCTTCCTATGGGCTTCCCGAGGAATTGTGCGATTGGATCACCAGCTTTCTTGCAGATCGGAGCATCAAGGTCGTTGTAGACGGTGCAAGCTCCGATTGCAAGCCTGCATGCTGGTGTTCCACAAGGCTGCGTGCTATCGCCAACGCTGTTTCTTCTACATATCAATGATATGTTGCAAACCCGTAACATTAATTGCTATGCAGATGACAGCACCGGCCGAGCTAATATTTCTCGGGAAAACGTCTCCGAGTGGCGGGACAAACTTGTGTCTGAAGTCGAGTCTTTGCTGAACAGAGTCTCGGATTGGGGGCGACTAAATCTAGTCCAGTTTAACTCCCAGAAGTCACAAGTTCGCGCGTTAACCGCTAAAAAACCCTTTTGTCGTATCTCCTCAGTTTCAAGGAGGAAAAACTCCCCTTGTTGCCTCAGCCAGTATCAGAATCCTCGGCGTCGACATATCGAGTGACGTGCAGTTTCGTGGTCACTTAGAAGAGAAGGCCAAATTGGCCTCTAAAAAGCTTGGCGTGCTCAGCAGAGCGGGACAGTATTTCATGCCGGAACACCGCCTGCAACTTTACAAGGCGCAGGTTCGGCCGCACATGGAATACTGTTTCCATCTCTGGGCTGGGGTTCCCCAGTACCAGCTCCTTCCACTTGACCGCATCCAGCGCAGAGCGGCTCGAACTCGACGACCGAGTGCTTTCCGATCGGCTCGATTCACTGGCACTGCGAAGAGATGTTGCATTTTCTTTCGCATATACCATGGAGAGTGCTCTGAGGAATTGTTCGGATTAATCCCAGCCGCCAAATTTCGTGAACGCACTACGCGGCAAACGTCCCGATACCATCCACAGCATCTGGATGCTTGGCGGTCAACCACTGTACGTTTCAAAAGGAGTTTTCTTCCTCGTACAACCTCTCTGTGGAATAGTTTACCACCGGCGATTTTTCCGGACCGATACGAACTGGGGACCTTCAAGAAAAGAGCTTACTCCTTTCTAAAGGGCCGGCAACGCACCTGCAATTCTCCTGGTGTTGCGGTTGATCATGGGCGGCGGTAGTCACCTAACATCAGGTGAGCCGCATGCTCGTTTGCCCCCTCTTCTATAAAAAAAAGAAAAAGATATTTACATTCAATACAATACGTGAACAAAATAAAAAATATGTACAAAATTAAAAAACAAATTAATTATTTTCTAAATCGAATCGTCTCTCTTTTTTAACGAAATATTTGATCCTATTACGGTTTTTCAATTGCGATAATTCTCAACAAAGTTTAAAGATTTTACCTTTTGATTTCTTAAATTTACGCGAACACTACACATTGAATAAAACTATTATTTACGGATTTTATCGCGTTTAATTACTTTAATTTATTTTTATTATTATCCCGACGTTTCGGGTGCTTTACAGCACACATGGTCACGGGGGGGACTGAGATGTTTGACGTCCCAATGTCATTGTTAGCCCGGCTACCTTCAGTTTTTGAATATTAATTTTTGGTCCGATTTACGCAAAACGAACTTACAGTATCTTGAAGTCTTGCAGTGGTATGCTTGGGTTTGGGTTTAATTTTGTTAATTATAGGATCCCAAGCAGATGGCAGCACCCTACCATCTTCTCTATTGAAATTAGGATGTTTTTTAATTTCAATAGCCTCACGTATCATCCTTGGTAGGAATCGGTGTTCTTTTGCGAGGACTTGTGGTTTATCAAATCTAATGTAATGGTGGGGACGATCCTGAACAAAATTTTAATTTTATCTAAAATTAAAATTTTAATTAAAAGAAAACCCTCTTTATAAAATTTTAATTTTAGATAAAATTAAAATTTTAATTAAAAGATCCATAAAAACCCGCGTGAAAGAACATATAACTGACGTGAAGCACCGACGCTCCGGGAAGTCTGCAGTCCGTGAACATGTTCAGGATCGTCCCCACCATTACATTAGATTTGATAAACCACAAGTCCTCGCAAAAGAACACCGATTCCTACCAAGGATGATACGTGAGGCTATTGAAATTAAAAAACATCCTAATTTCAATAGAGAAGATGGTTGGGTGCTGCCATCTGCTTAGGATCCTATAATTAACAAAATTAAACCCAAACCCAAGCATACCACTGCAAGACTTCAAGATACTGTAAGTTCGTTTTGCGTAAATCGGACCAAAAATTAATATTCAAAAACTGAAGGTAACTATGATAGGATAGGAGGCTAACAATGATATTGGGACGTCAAACATCTCAGTCCCCCCCGTGACCATGGGTGCTGTAAAGCACCCGAAATGTCGGGATAATAATAAAAATAAATTAAAGTAATTAAACGCGATAAAATCCGTAAATAATAGTTTTATTCGATTTTACCTTTTTCTCGCCGATTAACACTTTAACACACTTCAACTCCGTCACAAGGAACACTATTATCCTCAATTTTCAGTAAAAATATTTAAAAAAGCAAATTTTCAACTCGCAATATTCATTCGCTCAAGTAAACATACAGAGTTGTGACATGTGAAGTGAACTTGCAAACGTGAACTTGCTTTATTTTGCCACAGGTTAAAAAGGGAGCGATCGTCTTCTCGAAAGCCCGGTAAAAAGTTCACGCGTGCGAGAGAGACGACTAATCGCTCAACTCCTTTTTTATGACAGCAGTATCGCTAAGACTACGAGGTCGTGACCTGTGTAAAACAGAGGAGCGCGCGGGAAGTGAAACAGTTTAAGAGTTATTTTATTAGTTGATATTATTGATTGAGCAGTTTGAAAGGGCAAGCTCTGCTTCTGGGCTTCTATGGTGGCTTCGCCACTGGATCTAGCCTTATGTCTGTCAAGACTTAGTATTCATACCTCCATACCTATTAGTTTCTAAAGTTTGCGAAATGAATATTGATAAAGTAATATAACAATTATTGCCACTTGATTTAGAAAACAATTAACTTAATCGTTCGAATAGTAATAAATCTAGTACTATTTTCTTTATATTTTTAGGCATATTATAATAAAGTAACAAAAATAAATAACCAAACAAAAACGCGTATATCGATGCGATTTTTGCTGACATTGCGAACAAAATCACTATAGATTAAAGACGTCATGTCTTGTAAAGTAACGTCATATATAATAATACTACAATAGGGTTGTCATTTTTCTAGTAAATCAAGATTTAAGTGCGTGAGCCGACCCATTCATACTACAACCATAATATAGCTGCAGTGTGGCTCTACCACATATTAAGTTACACTTACCAAATTGTCTTGCGTAAGTTCACAGTTGTGTAAGTTCCATTTATTCAACACGGTCATGGTACAGATTGTAGCATATTAAAACTCAATACAAAACGTACAAACCTCTTTGTGGCGAGTTTAATTATAAAAGTACAATTATATGTTTTGACACGCACATGTTGCGTCCTGTTAAATTATGCACTGAACATACACTGAACTAAACTCACTCGTTAACGCGAACGGCGAGTTTAGTTGCGGGTAGCAGGAGACGCGCGGGAGGGCAACACTTCGAACTTAACTCGCCAAAAAATAGACCGGCCAGCTATCCTGTTCAACTTAATTGTTAATTTGCTACTTAACTCACTAATTGCCGTTGAAACGAATTTTTTTTAACTCTCCAGGATTGCAATTAGCTGTACTCGAAGCTGTATGTCGAAGTGTAAATCGGTCTTAAAAGCCAAACGTCAGAACCGGCGACGGGAAGCATAGTCAAAGTGCGAGTTGTCTAGTATTGCGATAGTCTAACCTGCTACAGAGCGTGGCGAGGACGATGTCTAGCAGTAAACTTTTGCGAGGCTGATGAAGATTAGTAGTAAAAATTAGTTCTACAAAACCTAACTTCACCAAAATTGAACAGCGCTCTAAATATAATAAAAGTAAACTATAAGTAGTTACAGCCTATATACGTCCCATTATTGCTTGGCACAGGCCTCCTCTTATTTCTGTGAGGGTTTTAGGGCAAGGAAGTGTCCGCCGCGCTACCCCGATGTGTGTTGGCAAACTTCATATATCTTCGTAATATTTTTTTCTTATTTCTCTGACATGCCGGTTTCCTCACGATATTTTCCTTCACTGCTAAGCATGTGGTAAATCAACACTTAAAATTGCAATCAACAATTCCATTGATGCCGGCGGGGTTCGAACCCGGTTTGCTTGCGTACTGTGAAGTGTACAGCGAGTGGTAGCCATCTGAGCCACCACGGCTTTTAAAATATAAAATAAAAATATATGTTAAATTTGAAAATTACAAAATTTATTTGACAATTCTGAATCTAGTCGCTCAAAGATGTGTGTTTGTTTTCATTAATTTAAGTACTACACTGAATAGATTTTTAACCTTTTCGACGCCACGGACATTCATTAGAGATGGGCTGAATATTCGTTTCATATTCGGTATTCGGCATATTCGGCAGCTTTACCGAATATTCGTATTCAACCGATTATTCGGCTAAATCACCGAACATTCTTTAAAGTGGTACTCAATGTGTCCACTGTATTGAAATGTACGAATTGAGTAATACCATATATTTCATAATTTTACTGTTGAAAGTATATTTTATTTATGGGTTAAATCTACTTGTGTAGATAGCGTTATGTTTTTGAGACACTGTAGATTTATTTCCAACTAGCTTGCCAGGCAGACGTTGTTCTGCCCTTTTCGACGACCATTTGTCATGTTGTATCTATTAAAAATCCTTAAATTCGCAAAAAAAAATGGGTCACTCATGGGCAAAAAATTTATTCTATCTCTCAAGTTGGACCAAACTGCACACGGTGTGCAAATTTGATTAAAATCGGTTAAGTAGTTTAGGAGTCCATCGCGGACAAACAACGTGACATGTAATTTATATATATTAATATTATAGCAAATAGAAAGCTTGATAAAATGTTTTTGGAATCAAACAAAAAAACATTACATTACATTAGTACATTTCACTTTACTTAGGTCGTCAGTTTCTCTAAAATTAGTCCAAATAGTAGATCTCCCGCCACTCATTTTTATTATATAATTATCAATTTTCACTAAGGATAGGGCAACGAAATACTTTTATTCTCACAAAAATTGTCGTAACATAAGCATGTGCCGGCAATTTGCTCAGTACTAGACTTCGATCAACAATACTTGTTGAAGGTATGTAAAGGAATATACTAGATGATGCAAAAACAAGTCAGATGTGGCGGGGGAGCGAGGGGCAGAGTTCGCCGCTAATCCAGCGCGCTTTACGGTAACAAGTTTTGACATTAATTGGTCATCATTGGTTGGCCGAATATTCGGTTCGGTAAAAGTTATACCGAACTTTCGGCCGAATATTCGTTTTCGATGAAATCCATATTCGGCCCATCTTAAAAACACTCACAACTTTGTGGTTATCTTAAAAACACTCAATATCCTTAGTTGAAAACCTGTATTCTGTTATTATTTATTAATATACTCCAACGCCATCGCTTTTTGTTTAATAGGTTAAAATAAAATTGGTAATTATATAATAATTCATTCACATTATAGGAACCAACGCTATATTTATCTTTATTTTAAAAATAATATAATATTAACATCACAAAAACATAGCGCGCGGCCATTGGAATTAAATAAAATAATTATTGTGAGTATAAATAGAACTAATATACAGCTGTTACTACATTACAATTCTGTATGAATAGCATGCTGGTGGGGTAACAGTTCACCCGGGTGAATAAATAGTCCTTCCTTTGCCTGCCAGTCTGTGTATGTACCATATTGTGAGCTGACACCTACAATTTCTCCTTGACCATTAATCGGCCGGCCAAATGTTCTCCCTGATCCAGCAAGGTATCTGAAAATAAAATATTTTATAATATTAATCTCATATATATGATTCCTAATGCAATATAAAACTATTAGAATAGTTACCATAGTAGGTATAGTACACCAGTTTTTTTGGTGATGGTTTCTGGAAGCATACTATCTTAGCCCTCAGGGGTGACAAGGCATCACGTTTTGATTCTTAATCAAGGATAAATGTAGATGTCTATGGGCCCACAGCATTCACTTACCAACAGGTGGACGGTGTGCTCGTTTGTCACCCATTTTGCACTTCTATTGATTACTTTTTTAGTTTTTGGTCTATTTACACGATTTCAACATTTTTACAATATTTAGCCCCAAAATCCCTAAGCGGTCGAATTCGACCGCGGCGCTATTCCGTCAAACTCCCAAGCGGTCGAATTCGACCGCGCACACCCACATCACTTTAAACCATTAAAACATATATTTAGAGACCACTTTTCTATGAAGAAGTTTGGCATTATATAATCAATATTAAATTTTCTATCCTCTAATGCAATAAAAAGTCAGTTAGTCTGTGGATATTCACTTATAATCTAGGTTCATTACGTACGCCATTTTCATTTGGATATCTTTGTGTTGATTTATGGATTTTTCTAGTGTTAGTGCTAGTTAGTTACTGTATTGCAATATAACTACTAACGAAAAAAATTGTATTTACAAAAATCACCAGTTTATCTTTCGTCTCGACACTAATTCCACTATATAGCCTAGTTTAGTTTTTTCAGTTTATATGCAATTTTGATATTAAATTGATCTCAAAACACAGGTTTATTGTTTGATGACCGTAAAATTTTTGTTGTAAATTTTGGAAGTAATTGATTGTGAATTCTTTCCAGTATAAGTTCCTATTTTTATATCCCCTTAATGAATCATTCCATCAGTGTTATTCTTGGGATGATAACTACTTAAGTAACCAAAAATAAATTACTTACGCTGCAGTATCAACATGCCTCAACTTTACAGGCGTGTCTCTTCTCCAGTAATCGTTATTACAAACAACGGTCCAATTGTCACCACTGTCTCCTTCACCATCCTCGTCACCATAACATGATACTTCTTGGTTTCCCGATAGTGGCGATGAGAAGTAATGGGAGTGTAGATTCTTTTTGGTTCCTACATGCTGTATTCGAATGTTTGTATTACATTTTATAGGTGCTCTGTAAAATAAATAGAACATATCCAAATGAAAACTACGCTCATAGTGATATACGTGGTAGAGACATGCTGTAACTTTATTATACTTGTAGCGCAAATGGGTCGGCTCGACCGGGGAAGGACCGCGTTCTTACAGAATACTAGCGTAAAATAGCAGCTCAATGCTACTGTTTCGTATGATGAGTGTAAAAAGAACCAGAGACTCTTTTTTACGAAAAACGAGACATTCCATTTTAGTCTTCAGGGCTGATAACGCATCTGCATTTTAATTCTTAAACAGGTGGACTGTGTGCTTGTTTGTCATCCTTATGTTTAGAGATGGGCCGAATATGGATTTCACCGAATACGAATATTCGGTAAAACTTTTACCGAACCGAATATACGGCCGAACATTATTCGGCAGGATCACAGGAAACTTGTTACCCGTAAAGCGCGCGAAATTAGCAACGGACCATTCCCCTTGCTCCGTCGCCACACCTGACATGTTATTGCATCATATTATTACTGAGCAAATTGCCGGCACATGCTTATGTTTTGACTATTTTTGTTAGAAAAAAGTATTTCGTTGTGTTATCCTTAGTGAAAATTGATAATTATATTATAAAAATGAGTGGCAGGAGATCTACTATTTGGACCTATCTTAGAGAAACTGACGACCAAAAGTAAAGTGAAATGTACTATTTAATGTTTCTTTGTTTGATTCCAAAAACATTTTATCAACCTTTCTATTTGCTATAATTGGAAATAAATCTACAGTGCCTCAACAACGCTATACTTACAAGTATATTTAACCCATAAATAAAATATACAATCAACAGCAAAATTATGAAAGACATGGCATTAGTCAATTCGTATATTGAAATACAGCAGACACTTTGAGAATGTTTGGTAATTTAGCCGAATATTCGGCCAATCTCTACTTAATTTATAAAATAAATAAATAATTTATATCTAGAGAAATGCAAAAAGGCTTGGTATCATATTTCCTACTAGCTGTTCCCCGCGACTTCGCCCGCGTAGTATTTATTATGATTGGACTTCGTGAGTTTTTTTTTCTAAAATAAAAGTAACCTAAGTTACTCCTTATAACATCAGCTATCTGCCAGTGAAAGTCCCGTCAAAAGTGGTCCAGCCGTTTCAGAGATTAGCCGGAACAAACAGACAGAGACAAACTTTTTTTTGTAATAAGTACCGTATATAATTTCATATATACATTTAGTAAAAAGCTGTTATTTAGATATTACAAACAGACACTTCAATTTTATTTATTTGTATAGACTATGTTCCCAGTAGCCAGATATACCATTTTAATGTTATTTGGAAATAGTATTTTAATCGTATTCTGTTTCTGATCTTATCTAAGAAACTTATCTGATGTTGTTGTTTTAATCAAGTTTATTTTTTGTCATAATTAGAGGTCGGAATTAGGTAGAGTTATTTATGTACTTACACTGATTTCATACAGCAAAAGGAGAAAGAGGATATGCCTCAAATTCCGAGATTAATTTTAAAGTGCAGAAAAAATCTCGTGATTTATTAAATAAAAAAGTTATTTAGTTTTATACAATTCAAACCACTGCACGTGCGACGTTGCCAAATTTACTTAATAAAATATAGCAGAAAACGAGGAGAAGGAAGTGTATAAATAATCATGTCCATTATTGACCTGAAAATTTTCTGACGCGTCTAGTGATGTAAAATATCTTATAAAATTGTATATTTTTTTCTTATTTCGTAGCTCATAATTGAATTGTCAAATAAAGCCAGAAAAAGAAAAAGTAATGTTAATTTGTTTATCATTCTCAATAGACTTTTGAAGACTAAACGTGTTTTACAATGGCTAAAAGGCCCAGAATCCATGCCAAAATATATTAAAAACGTGTTTTCCACGTTCCGTTTCAGACTGCGAAAAACTTGTTCTTTCGTCATGTGGTTTATGAATGTTCAAAATAACCGATTTCTTTTGTATAACTTATTATTTTATGATTAGATACGATTTTTAATTGTTTTATACTATGGTGTGGAAATAAAAATAAATGTACAGACTTTATCTGACAGCTGTTATAACCTCAAAATTTTATTTACTTAATAGCATTTTTCCCTGGCCTCTAAATGAAAAGATGATAATTTATTATGTTATTATAAACAATAATTGTTTTTATAAATCAGTAGTTGTAGGTAGACGCGACCTGTTAAAGGAATATAGTGACAGGTCAATCAATGTATGGAAAATGGGCATGATTCTTTGCTAACCTCACCTCAGTTGACGTAGAGGGATCTTTTTTATGTACAAATGGATTTTAGACGTTTGGAGAAATTCATTGAAGCCAGAAAATATTGGAAAGCTAATGGTTATATACTTCAATTCTCATAAAAGTTAAACAGTAATGTCGGAGGCGAACACTTCAAATCTTAGTAGTACTTTGAATGAATCGAACAAGGATAATGATTCTGATGGGCCGTTTGAATAAGCAAAACCTAGCGAGTCTAGGCTAGAAGCAAAAGTATTTCCGTATTTATAAAAAAGGCGAAGTATAAGTATGAGAATTTGCTTGAGACTATTAATAATTTGTATTAAGAATTAATGTAAATACTAATAAAAATTGTATGTTAATTATCTTAATTTTATTTATCTTATCTATCTCTGAGGTTTTAATTATTATTTATTTGTAATATTGTTGGCCACACGGCCACATTGTCTATTAGAAATCCCGGAAAGATCCATATTAATATCAACATTACGATGCAAGTACATAAATAACTCTACCTAATTCCAAACCTGATAATTCATTGTGATCATATTACTTACATACACAGAATATTTAAATAATTGAAGTGATATTTGATGATCATTCACTATATAAGGCATCTTTGGAAAAAGGCTATTCTCACTCACATAACTTGATGATGCCGTAAGCACAGAATAAATAATGTTACGAGCTTCGGGTTCGTGACGTTCGTTCATTTTACTTTAGAAAAAATTGTCGTTTTACTAAGACTAAAACATTAAGCGTGTCTGGCCTTTTTACCAAAATGTCCGGCTAAGATCGGTGGTCTGTCCGGCTTCGGTTTTAAGAGCTGGCAACCCTATTTAAGAGTATGAAAAAATTATAAGAAATACTTTCAAAGAAAAATAACTAGTTCGGAAAGGACCTTAATAGAGATAATAATTAAGAGCGATTAAATATTAATGTCAACGGGAAGGCAAGAACGGATCCACATCGTTTCACAAATAGGGGTGGTATGTTGTCAGGGCCAGGTCTTTTTTTTTCATGGAGGTATTGTATTTTTTTGTACACTTGAGACTCACTCAATTCAAGTGTAACGATGGAATTACTCATGTTCGCAATATCATAACTATGAGAAACATCGGTAACGCTATTTTTGGAGTACACGGAAGAAAAGTGACTTGCAAAAAGGTTCGCTATATCGGTGCCTGAGGATGCAGTTGAATCTTTCAATATCATTTTAGCGGGAGGTACAGAAAGACCTTTGCGCTTATCTTTGATGAAACGCCAAAATTTGTCCGGATCTTTACAGATGCTAGACTCAATTTTTGTCATGTGATTATTGTAGCAGATATTAACAAGTTTATGGCATCGTTCGCGAAGAAGGTTGTACTCATACTTATCTCTAGGATTGCCGTACTTGTCATATCGTTTTCTAAGTTTTTCCTTATCTTTTATAAATTTTATTAGATTTTTCGTAAACCATGGTGGGTTCCGAGTTGGTTTAGATGTGTATTTGGGTACGTGATTGATAATTTCACTCCTCAGTTTTTTGTAAAATTCAGTGACAAAATCATTGACGTCCTTACAGTCCTTAAAGTTTGCCTTGTGGTAGTTATGTTTTACACGTGGCTTAGGTAGCAGATTTTTGCCGTATTCAAAATTAAGTTCTGATATTTCAATGAGTATAGGGGGATGGATTTGTCAAGTTTACTTAACAAATCTAAGGGTTGAGAGACATTTAGGCATTGCAAACTACTTAAGGCCAAATCCAGGGTTCTACCATGTGAATTCCTTATATGGATGAATTGGTACAGATTATTCATAGACAAGCAGTCCACCAGACAGCGTCCTAAATCATTATTATAATTAGTAGGAATTGTGTGATTATAGTCATCGTTAAACTCCCAGCCGACAAAATTTAGATTAAAGTCACCCATCACAATTACATTATCAATATGGTTCAGCACACTGTTTAGATTATCTAAGAAAACCCTTTGTTGCTCCAATCTGGGTGGCGACGGTAAGTATACTGCACAGATAGAAAGAGTGGAATATGAGCCATTCATTCTGTATCCAATGTTAACCCAAAGGTCTTCGCAATCAGTTTCCCTTCACATAGAAGGTATTTCACGGGATACTGCTATTAATACTCCGCTACCATCCTTCTTGGAGCTTGAAGCGCTTGCGCGATCCCTACGGTATACAACATATCTAGAGTCAATGAATTCACTGTCTGAGATACTTGCATTTAGCCATGTTTCGGTAAAGATAATTATCTTATAACTATTTACTAATGTGTTTTTGTACACTTCATTAGTCTTCGTTGGAATCCCACGGATATTTTGATAATATATATTTAAATTTATAACTAAACTTTATAACACTCGCTAATCTTTAACCTAACTATTTAATTGACGCTACACTATCCATATTACGAATTAACAATGCCTCGCTGAATTCATCCTTCCGTACAAAGATTCGGCCATTTCGTACCCAAGTGGACTTATATTTGCATTCCTTGGCTTTAATTCGTGCGGCAGCATGCAAAGACTTGTTTGTTGGAGATAGATGTTCAGAGACGAAGACTGACTTACTAATACCAGCAAGGCCGAGGTGTTGAGAGCTTAGTTTATCCTTGTTATTCTTTTTGTTAAATGCGGAGACCGAAGCAAGAATAGCATCACGTTGTCTGGGTGTACGCAGCTTCACCATCACTGCACGTGGCCCGATTGCTGTCTTTGCTCAGCTAAGAAACCCGTGTTACATGAATA